CACCGGCCGGTGAGGAGGAGAAGAAGGCGCTCGACGATGCGGGTGTTGAGATCCCTGCTGCTGCCGCTAAGAAGAGGACGACCAGGTCTGTCAAGGACTAAGCGGGTCATTGGTAACAGAGGAGGAGAGGTGCCGCTCTACTGCGTATATCATTATGTATGCACCGACGAGAGCGTGTTGAGGCAGACGAGTAATCAAGAACTAGCAGCATATACCCACGTCGATAGAGCCGTATGCGCTCTACCATGCATCGATCTCTGGCGTTAGCCGGAATAGCAGGGCAGATAAGCGCTATCGACGCCACACTGAGTCATTCCTACCCTGAGACCGTGTCGCGCGTGCGTCGATCCAGTCAACCATCGTCAACTCTCAAACCTCCACCTTGCACCACCGTTTTTCTAGCTCTGCGCAAAAGTCCAGTCAACCGATTGTTGCGGGTCTCTCTTCCTCTCTTTATCGCTCGTCTTCCCGCATCGGATACTCACATCTCTCGGCGCGAATCATCCCCGATGCCACCGCGAAGATTGACCAGAGCTTCGTTGCCCGCTCCGAGCCAGGTGAAGAGCGAACACTCCACCAGGGTGGCAAAAGAGGAACCCGAGTCTGATGCTCTGGTGGACTATGGGCCATCAGACAGTGATGGTCAACCCATGAAAACCGGTGAGTCTTGCTCGATTGATGTGCCCCGCGCCCGTCATTCGCGCAGCTGATCGACCATGCAGAGCTACACGAAGGGAGCAACGGGTTGGCAGACTCGCCCAAATACAAGCTCGAATCTGTTACTATACCCTCACGACGCTCGCGTCTGGGTACCGACAAGACCACCAGTCTGGAGAATATGACTATCAACGGTGCGAATGGTCAGTCATCCACTCCAGCGGATGTCAAGGAGGACCCAGAGGCTATTGTGAGTTGCTTATCGCTCGCTTCAACCACCAGCTAATCCGACTCTGGCTAGACACAGGATGATGTCAAGCCTTCCAGTAGCGTCGCTCCAGCTTCCACAACACGCAAGAAGGGCAGATCCAAGGTGAATCCTTCCGAGCAGGCGCCTTTCAACATCGGCAAACACTCTGCGGTGTCCAAGGCGAAGGCTTCTGATCTCGTCATGACGCCGGAAGAGCAGCTCCAGGATGACTCTCCCCCTGTGTCCGCGAAGCGAGCGCGCGCGTCGTACGGCGCGGGAAAGCCCAGAGGCCGAGGGAAGAAGGCCTTATCCCCCTTGACCGACGAGTCAGAGTCGGAATACGAGCAAAAGGTGGGAGGTGATTATGCCATGGACAGCGATCAGGAGGATGAGCAACTCGCAAAGGCGATCGCTGCGTCCACGAAGAAGGCTAGAACGTCTACTGGCTCGAGTCGAGCCTCAAGCTCCAAGAGCACTCCTGTGAAGACTCGCGCTGGTAGAGGCAATCAGGCCGCCCTGAGGGCTGCTGTAGCGCGTGCAGCGGAGGGTGAGTCTGGGTCGTCATCCTACTGTGAACAAGCTGACCATGCTCTCAGCTCGTGCCACTGGACAAATTGCCAATCGGGGAAACACGTCCGGCGACGTTACGCCATATTCCGCTGACGGCAGTGGAGTTGGCACAAATATCTCTGCGCTGTCTGACGATGACTCCGGCTTGTCCACCGTATTATCCGACATCTCTGCGGATGAGGCTCTGGTAGCCTCTGATACCGAATCCAGCTATCTATCCTCGAGCGACTCTGACGCCCCTCTTGCGAAGAAACTCAAAGGTAGCAAGGGTAAATTCGCTGGTCGAGGGCAGACTGTGGACGGTAAATGGGATGAGGAGATTGATGACCTGCTCGGATCAGAGGGGGAAGGCTTGGACCCGGAAGAGAAGAGGATGATGACTCTTCAGAAGCTAAAGGCTAAGGCCAGGAGTGAGAGGCGGGCATGGGAGAAAGCAGCAGCGCCAAGGAAGAAGAAGGAGAAGGAATTGGCGAAGAAGCTTGGGCGGAAGTTGACCAATGGAGAGAAGAATCTCATCGCTTTGAGTATGGTAAGTTCTGCCCATGCAGCTGATTGTACAGATGCTGACTTGATGACAGAGTCATCCCGAGCTCGAGGATGTGTGGGGTGACTTGCAAACGAACGTCCAGCCTGTCAAGCCTGTCACCATGGAGGCGCACCCGTCACTCAAGCTCACCCTGCTTCCGTTCCAAAAGGAGAGTCTGTACTGGATGAAGAAGCAGGAGGAGGGGCCGTGGAAGGGAGGCATGTTGGCTGACGAGATGGGTATGGGAAAGACGTAAGTCATCGTCCTGAGTTGGTATCCTCTGCTGAGACCAACCCTTGTATCTACCAGAATTCAGACGATCGCTCTGCTTCTATCTGAACCTCGCCGCAAACCGAGTCTTGTCGTCGCGCCCGTTGTAGCCCTCATGCAGTGGAAGCATGAGATCGAAACCCACGCGGAAGGCTTCACCGTCTGCCTGTGGCACGGCCAGGGACGGATGAAAGCAGCCGAGCTGAAGAAGTACGATGTTGTGGGTAACTGCAGCCAACGCAGACGATGTGTACAATACTGATCGGTTTCCACAGGTCATGGTATCGTACGGCACTCTCGAAGCTTCGTTCCGACGTCAACAGAGGGGTTTCAAGCGAGGTAACAATTTCATCAAAGAGAAGTCGCCCATGCACGAGTTCGAATGGTACCGGTGAGTGTGCTCGCGCGTTCAGCTAGGCAGTTGGACTGATAGCGCCACCCAGAGTTATTCTCGATGAGGCGCATAATATCAAGGAGCGATCGACAAACGCTGCAAAGGCTGCCTTTGCCCTTCATGCCACGTACAAGTGGTGTCTGTCGGGTACACCATTGCAAAACCGGGTCGGCGAGTTGTATTCGCTGGTCAGATTCCTGGGTGCCGATCCTTTCAGGTGAGTGACGAGCTGGTCTCAGTGGCGATCGCTCAACTCTGTCTACTTAGTCACTATTTCTGCAAAAAGTGTCCCTGTAAGAGCTTGCATTGGCAGTTCAAGGATAAGCGAACATGTGATCAGTGTGGCCACAAGCCAATGGACCACGTCTGTTTCTGGGTGCGTATAGTCTCTTTGTGTGTTTCACTGTAGCTTATATTGCTGCAGAACACGGAAATCTTGACCCCCATCGCCCGATACGGTATCGAAGAAGGCGGCCCGGGCCATACCGCCTTCAAGAAGCTAAAGATCCTGTTGGACAGGATGATGCTCCGTCGAACCAAGCTCGAGAGAGCCGACGATCTTGGTCTGCCCCCACGGACCATCGTCGTAAGGCGTGACTACTTTAGTCCCCAAGAGAAGGAGCTGTATATGTCGCTGTTCACTGGTGCGAAGAGGCAGTTCACGACGTATATCGATCAGGGAACTGTGCTGAACAGTGAGTGTATTGACGTGTATCCAGCCGAGGGCTGCGCTGATCCGCCGTTAACAGACTATTCAAACATTTTCTCCTTGATCACGCGAAGTAAGCCAGCATTTACCACTGATATACCATACATTGCTGACTATGAAACAGTGCGACAGATGGCCTGTCATCCCGATCTGGTACTCAAGTCAAAGAATAGCGCTCTGGGCAGCGGTCTCCCCGAGGGTACAGTCTGTCGGCTGTGTAACGACACAGTGAGTTGTATACTCAGCGCTGCTTAACGAGATGCTAAACGCCAGTGTTCAGGCCGAGGATGCGATCATGTCTGCGTGCAAACATGTCTTCGACCGAGAGTGCATTCGACAGTACCTGGAGGTAAAGCAGGCACGCGGTCATTCTGTGAGCTGCGACCATGCCGATTATACGCCATGACTGACGCGCTGCATGACAGCCCGAGTGTCCCGTGTGTCACATTGAGATATCCATCGACCTCGAGGCAGAGGCGATAGACATGCAGGAGGATAACAAAAAAGCGAGGCAGGGTATTTTGTCCAGATTGGATCTACAGGTGTGTGGAATCGGGTCGACGGGTGTCTCGGACGAGTTGACACGCTTGCAGAACTGGCGATCGTCGTCCAAGCTGGAAGCGCTGGTAGAAGAGCTCGAGAAGCTGAGGAACAAGGACTGTACCATCAAGTCGCTGGTCTTGTAAGTTGACGGCGGTGTAATCAAGGACGACTTGCTCATTTGGCTTTCTGCAGCTCACAATTCGTCTCGTTCCTGGACCTCATCGCCTTCAGGCTGCAGCGAGCAGGCTTTAATGTGAGCGGGTGTTTACGTCGGCGAGAGGGCCACAGCTGACCGTCACTGGGCAGATCTGTCGGCTTGAAGGTGGTATGACGCCCCAGCAGCGTGACGCGACGATTCAGCATTTCAGTGAGTCGGTCGCAGACGGCTTGAAACGTAACCTAACATCGGGTCACAGTGAAAAATACCCATGTCACTGTCTTCTTGATCTCATTGAAGGCCGGTGGAGTAGCGCTCAACTTGACGGAGGCCTCAATGGTGTTCATGATGGACAGCTGGGTCAGCTCTCCCGTTGGCAGTTGCTGGAATGAGCTAATCCTCGTCGCAGTGGAACCCGTCAGTCGAGTATCAGGCGATGGATCGAATCCACCGACTTGGTCAGAAGCGTCCCGTCAAGGTGGTCAAGCTTGTGGTGGAAGACAGTATCGAAGATCAGATCGTTCAGCTTCAGCAGAAGAAGCTGGCCATGACGGAGGCTGCTCTCAACAAGGATCCCGATGCTGCCCTGGGCAAGCTCACCGTGGAAGATGTAGGTCTGCCCTGTCTACGAGTGTGGTGTGATCTGACACGTGTTACAGCTTGGGTTCCTGTTCAAGCTGTAAAAACCGGAGTCAGCGTTCTGACCTCGTCGGTTTTACCAGTCGCTTGTATCGAATAGACCCATGAAGATGTTGTATGGATGTTCAAGGAACGGCTACCACTTTGAACATAGGAGACTGTTCAAGGCGCTCACATCACTTATGTCTGGGACTCGGCTGACCCTTCTGACACTCTTGTGCGTATAGCAGGTTGAGTATCTCATAGGTCCCCGCTCATAAACCCTGCAAATCCACCCAACATCGAGGTCACGTGATGGAGTTGGTCACCATACCTGTCTAACATTCAGTGTGCACAGGAGGTCGCAAGTTCGATCCTTGCCGGGATCATTCGTTTTTGGGGAACGTACGAGCGCATGCAGCCGAGGGTTCTGCTTTTTATGACACTCGGGTAGGTACAGGGAGTGTCCCTTGACTCGCTTAGACGGCAGTCAATTTGGCGAAGAGTCGAAAATCTCGCGACGGGTTATTGTGGCGCCGGGATCTGATGAGCCCTCCCTCCTCATCATAAGCAATGCACAGGCGGCCTATATCGAATGGGCCCAGCCAGCAGCGCTACCGGCTCGACCATGAGCCTACCGCAAGGCCTGCTAAAAGGCTCGACCAATTACAGGCGTTTCAATCCCGCCCAGGACCGTTGAAACGGGCAAGTTTCTCGAATGTGGCGGATACGTCCCATACAAAAATGCGTCGAAATCGCCGACTTTCGACGCGAGACAAAAAGATCTTGGCCTGAGGCAAAAAGATTGATCCCGGGCGGGATCGAACCGCCGACCTCCTGTGCTCCCAAAGGCGTAGAACGCTGATTTGTTAGACAGGTATGGTGACCAACTCCATCACGTGACCATGTTGTTGTATACCGGGGTTATAAATCCGATATAATCCCAAATTGAGGTCACATCCCCTGATCCTAGGGGTCACACTCGTGGTAGTGCCGTACCTGCGATACCCTTAGTCAGTGCCCGTAGATATCGCTTCTGGCCTAATGCGCGACCACTCGAGCCGCACATCTTGCCAGTATGGACACAAAGCTATGGCTAACGTATCGAAGCAGTGCAGTGACCCACGGCTGATTTCTGTCGAGTGTCCTGTAGCGTCGTGACATCCAAGCGTTATACGAACTGCTGAGCCCTCAGGGGTACATCTCACGCGGCGTACGCCCTGAATGAGAAGACCCCTGTCCTAATACCATGACCCGTGAGGGTCGCTTACACTGACATAGCCTAAGCCAACGCGACGGCGTCGTCTGAGGAGCTGTAGCTCAGTTCGGTAGAGCTTCTGATTCCAACTGCTTTTGTGGATTATCAGAAGGTCGCAGGTTCAAGTCCTGTCAGCTTCAGATCATTCACATGCTTTACAGACGTTTCACGATGTGTCTCGCGCTATAACGGCTGTCTGGTTGTTTTTGCTCGTGACCATAACATGCTCTTTTCACCGCGCACTTCACTGCTTGTGTGCCGTACCTTCCCAGCCACTGCAAAAGGCTCCCGCTGTTGTGTACGGTGCATTCCGGAGGTCTGACCAGTTGCCCACGGTACGAGGATCGAAACGCGCGGCAAAAAGATTTTTCGGTCAACAGCCGACACTTGTTCGATCCTAAAAAGGCGGTCCCCTCAGTCCGTGTGCTTCCTCCCCGACTTGCCGAGATGTCTACATCCACCGCATGTGACGGACACGTCTGCAGCCGTCTCCGCGACCATAAGAACTCCACGATAGTGGCAAAACAGTCCGCGACAAAAAGAAAATTTCTCCATCAGGGAGTTGAACCCTGGTCTACATCTAATAGTGCCTGAGTTCAGCTCCCTGATGGTTAAGCTCGATGGTGGCGGGTGCTAGTTGGTATCAGCCCTGCGCCCGTCCGGACCTCGAATCCTGGGTTCAGGTCTTGGGTCGTCTCGGGTCTCCCCTGGGCAACACGGATGGCCCACCTGAACCGGGGCAGAACAATGTGCCCAGTTGACCCGGTCAAGCATGAGGAGGCGTGTCCGATCTCTTGAACGTGTCGAGTGTCATGCATGGTGGCATGGTGGGATGTAGACGTGTACATGCAGGGAAGCGCCCAGTCTAGGGATGCGACGGGAAAACCTGCATCGAGGAAAAGGCAAGCCGCTTGGAAGGCGCGCGTGTCACTAGGCGTTGGACGTTAGGCACACGGGCGAGAGACAAAGTCGAAACTGCTAGGGACGAGACGAAATTGGCAGGGTCAAGCTCTGCCCCTGCTCAAGCACCCTAAGTCTCTCGTCATCCTTCTTATCTACGAAGACTATCTTTCGGATAGCGATCGTCCATCCGCAAGCTAGCGGCTCGCGCATCATGCCCCCCTCTCGCACTTCACCCAAGGCCACAGCGGCAGCGGCCAAGAAACCGAAGAAACCCAAGAAATCCACTCAGCAAGCAGCAGAGGGCTCCACCGCCCCACCAACGGCACCACGAGCGGTTGGTACTGCACCGCTCACGCGAAGCCGTTCTGGAGGCAATCTATTGGTGGCTGCTGAGCCAAGCACAAGGCAAGTCCATTGCTACGAGTACCACATGTGTTTCAAAGGCTAAGCACACGCGCTAGCGCCATGGCTCCCCCTCCTGTGCCCCCTTTCCGCTCTGCGAGTGTGGCCTTGTCTGACATCAGCAACGAAGAAAAGCAAGATCGTCTTGCTTCGGCGCTTGCCGAGCGACAAGCCAAGGAGAGTCGACGCTCAGTAAGTATCGGCCGTAGGGACTGAGCCAACAAGACAGATCAGTCTCACTCCGCTTTCCGACCACACGGGCGTCGGAGAAGCTGCACAGGCTGGGGCCGGGTCGACCCCCTCCGGGTCCACTCGAGTTGGTCCCCCGGTGGTTCCCGCTGGCACTTCTGCTGCCCTCTCCGCGGGCCACGTAGGCAAGCCGATGGTGGCCCCTAAGAAGACCCACACATCCAGGAAGGGGCGAGGACGAGCTGACAATGCCGCAGCGGTGAGTACCTTCTTCGTGGAGACTGCTGAACACATGATCAAGACACTACAACATGCGCCGCCTGATGCGCTCAGAATGGCCTTGGGAGGCAACCACCAGCATGGGCTTCCGCCTGCCGAACTTCTCGTGATGCTGGAAGCTGCCCGTCTTCACCTAGACGTTAACAACACTTGGATCGAGCGAGTCCGAGCTCCGATCTGGGCCATGAACCGCCTCATGCAAAACGTTAGGAACCTACCCAACAACCCAGACCAAAATGACAAGGATCGTTTTGCATTGTCGTGAGTGGCCAGACTTGACCAGCTACCCACTGACACCGGCATCAGGGTGGTGGCTCTCAACGCCTCCGTCGACGTTCTCACACAGGCCACGAGCAGATATGATCAATACATGCAGGATGTTGAACCGATCTGGCAAGAGATCGTTCATCAGAAAGACGCCGCTTCCAGGAAGCAGTAATAAGACGGTGGTCATGTACACGTATCTGTAGCACGTGATGAAAGCCGTGACCAGTGGAAAACACCTTCAGGTTCTCTGAGGTTCTCTCACGTGCCACAGTCATCCCTTTCTTACCATCACCCTCACAACCACCCTTCACCTTCATAACCCTCTCTCACCTTCATGACCATCCCTCACATCCTTACACTCCTTCACCTTCCACACCTGCCGCCGACGGATACCTATGAGAACAGCCCGTCGTTCACACTCGTAGACGAAATCGCTCACGTTCGCTCACCATAGCAATATCCCCATAGCCGAGACAGTAACACGTCGTGCGCTCAGTGATCACGTCAGACTTGTTCACCGCCCCTTACAACCTCGACCACCTCGTTCGACCTGGACAATCATGTCCAGCTCCCAGCGTGAGTCATCGTTGGGCGCTCGCAAAAGGCTTCGCTAACAGATCACGGTTCTAGCCCTTCATCATGCCGCGCCTGGAAAACCAAACAGAAGAAGGCTTGCAAGGGTTCTTTGTTCAGGATGTGGATCTCGAGGATCAAGATCCTCTTGCAACTCGTTCCTCGCGCGCCCGACGGGCACAGGAAGATGTATGGGCGGACATGACGTTGGCGCTCGAAAAGGATTTGGACGAAAGAGCCACCTTCGGCCAGCAGGTCGGGGTTAGAAACGCTGCAGAAAGGCTGAGGATATACAGGAAGTTTCACGAGGAGAGGACTCGCTTGGGACTTTTGAGCTCTTTCAACTGGAACGACTGGACTCGAGTGGCGCGTAACGTTATGACGAATGCCATGCTCAGCAGCGAGAAAACCAGCCTTGATGAAGAGGGCAAGACCGTCAAGACTTACCTCCGCGTGGGATCCCTTCGACAGGTGAAAAGATCTCTCGCCTTGGTGAGCCTGTAGTGTTCTATCGTGTCCTCTTTTTGCAACGCTGACCAAGACTGCGCTGCCAGGTTCTGGATATGGATGCACCTCGAGGATCCACTATGGAAAGTCGCCAGCAGTTCTTTCAGGATCTCGAAGCGGTCAGTATGCAGCCTGGACTCCTGTGACCTACAGCAGCTAACACGTGAAACAGTGGCTTGTTGCTTTGAGATCCAGATATGACCTCAACAATGATTCCTTGGAGAAGGTCGCTTTGTATAGCGAGGAAATCGCATTGATGATAGACGCAGTCCTCACAGAGCCGACCGACGCAAATGTCGCCGTGCAATTCGCCTTCCTCCTCGTTCTCCTCATGCACACCGCCGGAAGACCTTCGAGCTTCATGCCCAGCAGTGCCACCTCGTTCTATCTCCAATGGTCAGACATCTCTATCAGACCCCGTCGGATTGCAAGCAAGACCACTGGTTTCGACATACGGCTCAAGCTGAGGAATTTCAAGCGACACGATTTGAAGTCGGCGACCTCGCTCAAGGGTAAAGTGGTACATCTTTTCGTTTCCACAGTAAAGAATGTCGACAATACGATCTTCGATATCGGCGCTCTCTGCATTGCCCACGCACTCAGACAGGGGGCGTTTGGCCCTGGCAAGACACTCGAAGACCTCTATAATGAGAAAGCAGGAGTTGTGCCTTATGCTAAGGACTATCTGGAGCGTCCAGTCTTTCTGCGCACCAACGCTAGAGGATACGGACTAGATCCTACGGGCCCCTTGACATATGAAAGTGCGAGGCAGCAATTCAAAGATATCCTCGATAAGGTTGGCATCAAAAGTGAGTCCGATCGCAAGCGAACGAGCTCGACAGTCTGATCACATCGTGCCAGAGGGAAAAACTCAGATTCTGGGAATGACCAGCGTTCGGCGTGGATCGGCAACCAAGCTCGCCGCAGCTTTTGGTAACGACGACGCCCGCCTGCTTCTTGGTCACGGCCCAAAGTCCAGTGCTTTGGAACTGCACTACGACATTCACCGTG